AAGGGGTGGGGGGTTCCCCCCCCCCCAAATCCCCCAGTCGGGACTGAAGTCCGGTTTCTGAGAGCACTGTACCTGCCCGATGCTAGACACAGGCTTGATCTTGTCGTGGGCATTCTCTCGGGTGTGTTCCAGAGCGGCAATGAAGGTGAACTGCTGTTGCTGGAAGGTCTTGTACGTCTGCTCAGTGTTCCGTAGACTCTCTTTGATTTCATTCATTTTTTCCCCCTCCTGGGGTTTTTTTTTAAGGGTAGGGGACAGCGAGGGGAGGGAAAGCGGATTGGAGGGAAAAACAGGAAGTTGGGTTTAGTGCGTTTTTAAATAATCCAGACACATAACACAGGATTCTAGTGCACCCTCAGGGGGGAGTTTTTATGGTTTTCTTTGCATCGCAGCTTGCGAGGACCTGTGGAAACCTGGCACAGCGTGGGGAGCGCAACCAGAAAATGGAGCTCTTCAATTTACCTGACTTTGGGGATGATCCTTGGTTAAGTGGACTTTAGATGTTTGAGCAGTACGGTTTCATGACGGGAAACATCTCTCTTGTTGAATAGCCATAGACCAATATTGCATTGGAGGGAGGGGACATTTGTCTCTTTATGTAGCACATTTCTAGATTATCTGCTTATAATATTTTATACTATTGGCCCTGAGTCCCTCATTACCATGGTGGTGGTCTGGACAGAGGCTTTCCTCCCATTCCTGCAAACCAGTGTTCCCTCTAAGATGAGTTAATGTGAGCTAGCTCACAGTTTTTTAGCCTCCGGCTCACACATTTTTCTCTTAGCTCAGGAAGGAGGGTTCCAAAGCAAGCTAATTGATGCAGTAGCCCAATCGCTCGCTCACAACTTTAATGCCGGTAGCTCACAAAGTATAATTTTTGCTCACAAGACTCCACAGCTTAGAGGGAGCTGCAGACCCCAGATAGTTCAGGCCAGGCCACGCCACTCAGGGTCTGGGTCACTGCGAACATTACACTAGACCAGGAGTCATTTCCTGCAGGAGTGCACAGGAGTGGAGCCCCGACAGTAAAGAGCCCAGGGGGCAGGCACATGCAACAAGCCCCACCCCCTGCTCTCAGCAGCCCTCAGTCAGAGCAAGAAGCAGTCAGGTAAATTGAAGAGCTCCCCCCGCCCGCCCCCCATCCAAAACAGTCCAGTGGCACCTTTAAGACCCGGTTTTATTCAGGTACAAGCTCTCCTTCCTCTGTGAGGACAGATCTACAAGCCCCCCCCCAATAGCTAGCAATCCAATAGTTAGCAATAGTGGAGTCTGAGCGGTGGGTGTTGCCTTCTGACACATTTCCAGTGATGTCAGGGGGTGTGGCATATGCAAATAAATTATGCTAATAAGTTATGCTAATGAGCTCCTGCACCTCTTTTTCTACGAAATGACCCCTGCACTAGACTCTCGGTTTACATCAGACTCTCTTGAGTTTCTTGGTATTAGATCAAGACGGGCAGCCCTGTTAGTCTATCTGTAGCAGTAGAAAACCACAGGCTGGTTTTCTGTAACTGGAGGTCCGTCCCCACTCCCCCGGGGAATTGAGCCCACTCTTACATGCACAGTCCCATCCTGGCACCTGTCTTTTGGTCACACAAGGATGTGATGGACTGCTTGGGACCGACTTTCCTGTACAGGGAGAAACATTTTCCTGTATTCTTTCTCTATCTGAGAGTGTAACAAACAAATGCCATTTGTCTAAACCCATTTTATCTGCTTTCCTTCACCCATCTGGGAAGCTTATCTTAACTGAGTACGTCCCTGATTTCTGGCTCCCGCGGTTTAATTATCTGCGCTTCTGCTGTCTCCCACTAGGAAGTGTGACTTTCTTTCTTTAGCCGGCTACCACTGAGGGCCAAAGTTGCAAAAATAAAATAAAAAATTAAAAGGCAGAGCGAGTGAAAAAGAGAGGAAGATATATCACGTTCCGGCTGTGCGGTCCCAGAGCCCCAGGCAGTAAGTCAATGCGGTTGTAATGATGCTGCAGAAACAGGTAGACAACTCTGAAGGGAACACAGACTATCAGACACCATAAACCTTAGTGGGTCTATTGTAAACATAATGTAGCCATGCATCAACGGTGACGCCGAGAAAAGACCTGAGGGAGGGACGTCTTCTCTCGGCTGGCATAAAAACAGTGGCCCCAGCGGCTTAAGATGTCCCCCCTCCCCTTAAACGAGGACTAGTTTGATGGGTGGTACACTGAGGAGGCCTTGGGGCGGCTGTTAACCTTCGCTCGCTGGTGGCCAGCTGGGAGACTTATCCGAGACGGCTGGCTGTGGCTTTGAGCACAACTCTGGCACAGATAGATGGGACACACAGCACTGGGATGGGCAGGGTTCTCTGGACATGGCAGTTTTTGAACAGGTTTGGCCAGAGCCACGGTTGCCAGCTTCTTAACAGCTCCTGCTCCTGTGCTTGGAACAGAAGCTTAATTGGCAGACAAGCCGAAGAAGTGAGCCACAGAGAGCTTCACCCGCTGGTTTCTAAAGAACAAGCGGCTGTGACAAGTGGCGCATTCAGTGCATTTTAGCGATGGCTTGCAAGTGGGTTTTGGTTTTTCACTCAGTAAAATACAGTTGTAAAGTGCACTGAAAGTGGGTTGGAAGTGCATTATTCACTGTGTGCAAAAGCGCCTAACGGCAAAGAAGCAGGCCAGGCCGTCTGTTTTCTGGAAAGCCAGCAATCCTAGCTTTCACCTGCTACTGCCTGGGCTCCAGTGCTGGGGAAGAAACTGTTTCTCTGGTGGACGGAATGGAGCACAGAGTGCCACAAACAAGGAGTCAGTCGTCAATGTGGCTCTATCTGGTCACATGTCAAAGGCCACCATTTAACACCAGGTAAAAAGGGCTGGACACCCTGGGGAAGCAAGGGTCGAGCCATTCTAGTCAGGGGGGAAATCTTCACACATGACGGCTCCCTGAAATGGATGCAATATCGCCGTGTGTGTATGTTGTGGCCACCTACATAGAAGTGTTTTGTGTGCTACAGGTAGATGGGGGGAGGACACCACAGTAAAATAAATTATTGTACCAAAGGTCATTTCGTAGAAAAAGAGGTGCTAATATCCCTGTGTATGTTGTGGCCACCTACATAGAACTGTTTTATGTGCTACCGGTAGATGGGGGCAGGACACCACAGCAAAATAAATTATTGTACCAGGGGTCATTTCGTAGAAAAAGAGGTGCAGGAGCTCATTAGCATAACTCATTAGCATAACTTATTTGCATATGCCACACCCCCTGACATCACCAGAGGTGTGTCAGAAGGCAACACCCACCGCTCAGGCTCCACTGGACTGTTTTGGATTGCTAGCTATTGAGGGGGGGATGTGCAGATCTGTCCCTCGCAGAGGAGGGAGAGCTTGTACCTGAATAAAGCTTGGTCTTAAAGGTGCCACTGGACTGTTTTGGGCTGGGGGGGGGCCTCCGCAGCTTATCTGGCTGCTTCTTCCTCTGACTGAGGGCTGCTGGGAGCAGGGGGTGGGGCTTGTTGCATGTGCCCGCCCCCTGGGCTCTTTACTGCCAGAGCTCCGCTCCTGTGCGCTCCTGCAGGAAATGACCCCTGATTGTACCTCTCTTCATAGATTTGTCCGGTACCAGGAATTTCTCTCCTTGTAACAGGTGATGTGAAGTGGTCCTTGTTTTTGAAATATATATTTTTATTGCAAATCTGCACTAGTTGCAGATCTATACATTTGGAACCTGCCCTGAGTCTACAATGTGGGGAGGGTGGGATATAAGTCTAACGAAATAAATAAATAAATAAATAGTCAGTTGCTGTAGATTTTCCGGGTTGTGTGGCCGTGGTCTTGGCATTGTAGGACCTGATGTTTCGCCAGTAGCTGTGACTGGCATCCTCAGAGGTATAACACAGAAAGATGGAGTACTCTGTGTCAAGGTGAGAAGAAAAATGGTAGGCAGGTAATTTATATCTACTCCAGAAGGTGGGGTAGGGCTGAATCATTATCTTGTAGGATATAAATTGTCCTTTGTCAGACTGTGATGTGGTGCCTGACAGCTACTTTTTAAAATATGTATAATTAGGAAAAAACACTTAAAATATGTAGACCTATTAATTGTGGGGAGTCATGTCAGTGATCCGAAATGCTTTTAATGGACTAGGCCAACCCATTAATTGATGAAATGATGGTAGCTGTCTGAACTACCAGGCATGGCTTTGGCCTACGTGAGGGGTTCAGAGAGCCACGTTGGCTGGCTGTTGTTAGATGCTGGCTAGCCCCGGGCCGGATTCAGAAAGCAGCTGTCTAATTTTTCTCCTGCCCGTCCTTTTATCCCCCAGTCATAGGGTTCCCAACCTCCAGGTGGTGGCTGGAGATCACCTGGGATTCCAACTGATCTCCAGGTAACAGAGAGAGTTCCCATGGAGAGAACGGCTGCTTTGGAAGCTTTATACCCTGCTGAAGTCCCTCTCCTCCCCAGTTCTCCAAGAATTGGCCAACCTGGAGCTGGCAACCCGATCCCAACCCAAAACTCCAGGGATCTCCCAACCTGGAGCTGGCAACCCCATCCCTAGAGGACATGACTTGCCAAAGGTGAGCTAATGAGCCCGCCGCCCGAGTGCAGATTTGAACCCGTTTTGCCCAAATAGATGCCCCAAACCATCTTTTTACACAGGCACCCGTGCCCATGGCCATCTAATTCTTCTCTTCTAATGGCCAAGAATTTGAAACAGGTGGTCCGATGGTACTTAGCTGCCTGCAACTATGCTGTATGTAGGGCAAATAGATGCCCCAAACCATTTTTTTACACAGGCACCCGTGCCCATGGCCATCTAATTCTTCTCTTCTAATGGCCAAGAATTTGAAACAGGTGGTCCGATGGTACTTAGCTGCCTGCAACTATGCTGTATGTAGGGCACCTTCACAGAAGAAGAAGGAGGAGGAGGAGGAGATGGAGGAGGAGATGGAGATGGAGATGGAGGAGATGGAGATGGAGGAGGAGAAGGAAAAGGAGAAGGAAAATTGGATTTAAATCAGTTCTTTGTCACCAATGGGGACCAGTGTTCCCTCTAAGATGAGTGAGCACTGGCGCACAGTTTGTTAGCCTCCGGCTCACACATTTTTGTCTTCGCTCAGAAAGGATGGCTCCAGAGCAGATGAATTTATGCAGCAGCCACATCGCTTGCTCACAACTTTAATGCCAGTAGCTCACAAAGTAGATTTTTTGCTCGCAAGACTCCACAGCGTAGAGGGA